CTAGAACTCATTCTTAATGGCTCAACGGAGTAAACTCAAATATGCTAATTAATACGTGCAGATGATATTTTAAAATATGAAATTAGATCTTAAAACGTACTTTTTCTGAATAAACATACCTTTTTTTTCATGGATTCGGATTTCTGATTTCCAAAGTATAGGGAGTAGCCGCAATCTGGGAAATATGGTCCTGGTAGTTTGGACCCCTCAATGTTCATTTTACTTTTTGCGTTTTTCGCTATATCACGAGAAATTTTTAAAGCGAATTGAAAAATTTTAACACACAGTTTAAAATTCTTTTATCCAAAGATAATTCCAAGCAAAAAATAAATTTTAGTGAATATTTATTATTTCTTATTAGGCATATACAAAAGGTATTGTAAGGTGCACAATTATTTGCATCACTTAAATATTTTATATGGCAATATACAAAATTTCAACAAAGTCGGTCGAATAGTTCTTGAGAAATTGAGTTTCCAAAAAATCAGATACTTAAAGTTCGATTTCTCAGGACCTATCCAACCAATTTGACTCAAATTTGTATTTTTCCTTATAACATTACATGCTTTAGAATGATGCAAATAATTGTACAACTTACAATTAAAAAAAATTTTCACCCATTCTTAAACAAAATAACAAAAAATATTTACTAAGAAGTTAGTTTTTACATAGAATCATCTTTTGATAAACGAAAGAAAATTATTAAATATTAAACTTGTAAAAAGAAAAGAAAAACATGTTGATCGATCTGCAGTTCGCTGAAATGCAACTAGAGAGTTGAAATTTGATGTCCTGATAAGACCGTTTTGTATTATAATTTTAACGAGAGTTTTTTACCAAATTCCAATTTATTAAAAAGTTATTACAAATTAAATTTCCTGATTTTTGCTTTAAATATTGCTTATTGATGCAAAAATTTATTTTTTCCTCACGATATCTTCATTTCTTTATTTTATAAGCTGGAGACCGAGTAGACATCAGTTAAAGTCGAGTAGAGAGATTACATGTTGCCAGATATAACATTCATTGTAAAATTTAAAAAGTCTGAATAAATAGTGACTAAAACCTTTCCTTATTTGAATTGCTATAAGCCTCTTCAAAAGGTGAAATAACTTCTCATTTATTTCTTCTTATTGAATCTCAAAATACATGTATACTTTTCTTGTGTAAAAGTATACAGTATACAAAATATCTGTATACTATACAAGGGCGCCGGCAGAATAATATAAAAGGGGGTGCAACCCTCTAACAAACTACCTTCCCCTCCCCCCGAAAAAAAATTTAAATATTCTGCTATTACATTTTGTTTTGTTATTACATATACTTTCATCTGTTCATTTTTTCAAGATACATTTCTTCATTGTTAGCAAGATATTTAAAAAAAAGTACGAATTTCTTGTACTTGCAAATTTTGCGATCGCGCTGGCATAGCTACTGACTTTGAAACACAAATAACTATTAACAGTTGTGTTGATGAAGTTTTACAGTTGCGAGAAGTCAGCTTGTGTTATACACCTTTGTCAAACTGAATAACTAATAGAAAATATAATATTATTTACATTTATTAAATGAAATTTAAAAATACAGCTTAGATATCTGCCAAGTTTGTGCATAAGAAAAGAATCAAAGATGACTCAGAATTCATTGAAAAAGTTAAAAACAGATTTGAACAGCAAACAAGACGATTACAATTCTTGTTTGATTACACAATTTTTTAATTGTTATGTGTCAATAATTACTTAATTATTTGTTTTTCCATAAAAATATGTTTAATAAAAAAAATTTATAACACATTTTTTTTGTATCTCTTTAATTGTTTTAAAAAAAAAGCCAGGGGGGTGCAAGTGCACCCCGCTGCCGGCGCCCTTGATACTATATACTTTTACATTACTTTTTCATTCTTTTTCGCAATTACAAACTATTACTTTTCGAATTTAGGTAATCGTCTATTTCATTACGGTTAACAAATATGTTCTTACAAAAAGGCAAAATAATTGTGAATTTTGAAACCGAAATTTGTGTTTTTGTGGAAATTATTGACGTTATTGAAGTGAACAATGATGAATGCGAAGCAATACGGGGGTTGGCGAGTGGTCCTAGTCTTAAATAGAAAAAAAAAGAAGAAAAAAACGCTCTATCAGAAAATATCGGGAATATTGTATGTTTTCATAAACGAAAACCATCCACGCAATTGCGCATGCGTCAGGACTGCATCGATTTCCTCAAACTAAGGATGAGATGACAGAAAAGAGAATGAGTTAATTACTTTTTTCGGAGTGAATGCGCAACTTAAGAAATGTGCACATTTCAGTGCACTCATTCAGCACATTTCAGTGCACTCATTCAGCACATTTTAATGCAGTCATTTAGCACATTTCAGTGCACCCATTCAGCACATTTCATTACTTCTCAAAGTCAAATCGTCCCAAGATGATAATTTTTGCTTTCGATCTTTTTTCTTTCTTTTTTTTTATGAAATTTTTTAGGACTTTTCAAAAAGTACATTTGTGGGAACGAAAAAGTAAGTCAACAATGCTTCCAGATAACAAACTTTCTTGCCTGAAAAGAATTTCAGTCTTATCGATTCACCGCTTGAAGCAGTATATAGATAACGTTTAACTACTTGTTTGAATAAGTTAAGTTTAATTTCTGGATTCTGTGATATTTTAGATAGTTATCAGATAGTCAGAGATTGTATTTTTTGAAAAGACAACTATTCAGTTTAAAAAAAAACATTTATTTTAGCTTCTTACGAAATGAGCAAATATTTTTCCGATGTCAACTTTATTATTTTTAATGATTTCTCGATCATTGTTTTAATAAGAATTAAAAAACGCTATGAAAATTGTATAAACTACTATTAGAAGAAATCTTAATAAGAATTATAAAACGCTATGAAAATTGTATAAACAACTATTAGAAGAAATCTTAATAAGAATTTAAAAAACGCTATGAAAATTGTATAAACAACTATTAGAAGAAATCTTAATAAGAATTAAAAAACGCTATGAAAATTTTATAAACAACTATTAGAAGAAATCTTAATAAGAATTAAAAAACGCTATGAAAATTGTATAAACAACCATTAGAAGAAATCTCAATAAGAATTGAAAAACGCTATGAAAATTGCATAAACTACCATTAGAAGAAATCTTAATAAGAATTAAAAAAACGCTATGAAAATTGAATAAACAATCATTAGAAGAAATCTTCATAAAAATTAAAATTCGCTATGAAAAATGTATAAACTATCATTAGAAGAAATCTTAATAAAAATTAAATTTCGCTAAGAAAATTGTATAAACTATCATTAGAAGAAATCTTAATAAAAATTAAATTTCGCTATGAAAATTGTATAAACTATCATTAAAAGAAATCTTAATAAAAATTAAATTTCGCTATTCAAATTGTATAAACTATCCTTAGAAGAAATCTTAATAAAAATTCAATTTCGCTATGAAAATTGTATAAACTATCATTAGAAGAAATCTTAATAAAAATTAAATTTCGCTATGAAAATTGTATAAACTATCATTAGAAGAAATCTAAACTAAAAACAAATATGTCATATATTTAGAGTTGTTTTAGCGAAAATTAAATGACAAAGAAAATGTTTACAATGTAATTATGTATTCTTTTGTATATTATTCTTTCTTTATAATGTATACTTTTATTTACATAAAGAAAAAGTGTGCAATTTTTCAAATCGCAAAAATTAAACAGAAAATTTGAATTAATAGTTTTTCATCAAAAAGAACTCTAGTGAATACATAATCATAAATTACTTTACATATTCAGTATTTATATTTTAAATAATCGCAAATTTGTTCATTGTACATTTGTCAAATGGAATTTCAACTATTACTCAACTTTGGCAACACTTCACAAAGAAAAGTTTCAATTAGAATTTCGATTATTTTTCACATATGATTTTTATTTTTTTCTGTATTATTTTATTTTAAGTATAATACCGACGTAGAAAGAATATTCTAATGGAGAAATTTAATTTACCATTAAATTGTTTGACAAAATTCAATGAATGTTAATAAATAAAAAGTTTCGCATTTTCAAATTTCAAAAAAGAGCTGCAGTTGAAATAGCTTAATCATCCGTAAAATTCTAAAAAAACCATAATTAAATGTTTAATATATTTTGCATAATTTATATATTTTGCAAAATATATACATAATGTAATATAATATAAATATATAATAAACATTTTAAATATTTTCATTTTGTGAATAACTTATAAGTTAAAACTTACAAATTGATATCTTCAGAAAAAATATTAATAAGCAAAAAAGAAAACACACGTATAAGGTGAATTAAGTATTCATACTCTACATATGAAAATATTTAAGATGCATTTCATTATTATTAATTTGAGATTTCGAATTATAAGCACTGAAAAGTACTAGTCATGAAAATATTGACAATTACTTATAAATAATATATTAATTAGTTTTTAAAATACTACAATTTTAAATTCTTTAAAATACTAAACTATAGAACCAAATCTCCTTAAAATACTCCTTTGAAACAGCAAACGATACAACCAAATCTTCTTTAAAATACTTAATTATATACAATCAAAATTGATGGTTTGAAAATGCCTTAATTAATTAAAAACTTTATTTAAAACACATTTAAATAAACTTTTTTAAAATTTTATTAATTTATTTATTCATTTTCGCAGCTGAAATGTGTTTTGAAGATATTCAGGTTAAGAGGGATGCGGTTAGCGCTCAGCATAGCTAAGTTACCTAGTCAATGCTAGCGCTAAATATACAATTAAGAGGGGGGAAAATACCACGAACATAATATTAGTAAAATTATCGGAATCTTGATTCAAATTATTTTCATTTTCTTTTAAATCGCAATTATATTATTAAAACATAATAATACAAATTTAGTATACAGTTAAAATACAATAATGTTTTAATTGTATACTAATATCAAAGCATAATATAAAACAAACCACCCTTTACTATAATATTTACCACATTCAAAGTCTAATCAATGTTAGCGCTTACCTTCAACTACGCCAAAATAGGTCAAATGAAAAATGCAGCAGAGCCAAATCAGTCATTAGGTTTTAATTGTATTGTATGTTGAATCTCGCCAAACATTGAAAAAGAACGTTTCTTTAAGATTCAGTCAGTGATTGACAATCATGTGCTTCAGGAAAACAAAAGATTAAACAGCTACTATGGTAAGACTCATTACTGGTTGCTGATTGGCCTGTTCTGTTGCGTCGAGAGTGTATGGGAAATTAAAAAAATTACTTCCTCACCATTAGAGTTACGATGGGTATTATTAAGATTGTTCCGAAAGAATGTTTCGAAAGTTTTTCCCAGAAGTTGCATAATAAATCGAACTCGCAGATGATGCTGAACATATGATGCTAATGCTGCTAACTCGTTGTAATTTGACACGTATTGTAATTACTATCTATGTAACACGTTGTTATGGAGTGATCCAAAAATAGGTGTTAGAAGCTTGGTTACTAATAGGTGATTGGATCAAATGACAGCAAAAGCCGAGGAAAAGTAATTTCTAGAATAAATATTTGATAATTGTGTTTACTGAAGTACTTGATTATCCAAAATTGATAGTCATATGATGTTCACCCAATATTTCTTAGATATAAAAACACAATAAAGCGCAATCAAACTTATATAATACTATCTTATATTTTTCATACCGTGATACGTTTTCGTTTACAACCTTACATTACTGGGAAAAAAATCATATTAATTAAAAGGAAACAAACCAATTTGCATAAAAGACAAAAAGAATTTCTTCAAGAAGTTTCTAAAAATTGCATTTTCCGATGAAACTGTAGTCTACCACCCCCTCCCCCTCCCCCTTTATGAGTCATCCACGACCAACCATGAGTTCATCAAAACAACTATTTAAATTCTAAACCTGCTTCAGCATGTTCTTAAAGTGTTTACATTTTTTTTTCCTTCCACCTGTTTTTTTCACTTTCCCTTCAGAGAAGCATGTGTGATGTTAAAAAGAATGTTCAACTTCGTTCTTGTAGCCTTTCAGTCCGTACTTTAACCTTGTCATTTCTGTGAGATCTTGAAAAGAATAATTATGGGATGCATAAAGAATGCGTCAATCAGCCTATAATGATAACACTTGCTTGCACGTTCAACTCCCTGTCCTTGATAAGGTTAAATAATTGGATTCAGTTAATTCAAAAAGATTCCAGATTCTTCTGTTATTTAATGTATTCAAATTTTAATTAGTTGGCAGCGTAGATTTAAGTTTAAAACAAATTAAGTATCATAATCAAAAATCGACAACATAAATATTTTCGGCGATTTAATCAAAAACAATCAATTAGAAAATGAAATTCAAAAATTAAAGAATAAATAAAGGCATGAATAACTCTTATAGATCAAAAAAGGCTTAGGCTATTCAGTTCAGATCATCAGCCGTTTATGCAGTGTGTTCCTTAATTGCAGCCCTTAATATATAACTGTAGAGTTCTTGTCAATAAAAGAAGTCAAAAAAGTTTAATCATTAGGATTCTCCAATTAATATAAAAGCGAGGAAGAAATATAAAAGCAATTGAAATCAGTTGCATCACTAGTGAGAAAGACAGGATAAATTTTTTAAAAAAAAGCTGTTTGGTTGTCTGGTAAAGTTTTGAGGGATTTCAAATAATCGCCCTTCAACTTTCAGTTTCCTCCGACAATCAAACAAGTTTTGTTGTTCTCAATCCCAACTTCCTCAGCCGCAATTCGTAGCATTATGTTATATGAATTGAAATTCATTTATATGAATTGAATTTACATGAATTAATTTGAGAACCCAAATATATAAACTAATTTTAATTCATTTTTGACAAAGATTATAAAAAATATATAGTATCTGCAGCCATTACGAAAAACCCTATACACTATCAAAATTTGCTGAATGAAACAAAGTGGCAGCTTTAAAGATTTTTCACAACATCTTGATGCATTTGTAACAATAATGAACTTACAAAACATACCGAAGATTTATCATTTAAGAACTTAACTTTTCACTTTGTAGCGAGATAAAATTATACATCAATGTATAATTCTTTTGAACGATTCGGATTTACATCAAGATTTTTACATCAAATAAAACTCATTTTGTATCAAACTAATAATTACTCGACTCAAATTATCAAAGCTTCTTAATACGTAATAAGCTTAAAAAAGCATTTCTAAATAATAGGATATTGCTTAAAATAACGTACTCTTAATAACATACTCTTATTATGCATAATCACATTAAATAAACGGTTAATTTTTATTTAATGTCGCATTTTAATCTTTTTTCGAACAATAATTGTTGCTCAAAACATGATCAAGGAATGATACGATCTACTTTCATCATCAGGTTAAAATTCCTCTATGAAAAGAATTTTAAACAATATGGATAAATAAAATTACTTACTATTATCAATTTCTTTGTTTTTTAGCCACTAGAATGCGCTAGTCTCATTATTTTTACACAAAAACGTTTCAAACAGAACCACGAGCGTTGTCTATGTTGTGAAAACAAGTAGTAATTCTAGTTTAGTGACTCTCTAATTAGATTTTGTATTAACTAAGAAAACTTATAAGTAAAATAATCTTTTTCTGCTTTTTGGATTTCTCAAAAAGAAGAAATTGAAATCTAAATCATTAAGTATTTTAAAAAATGCTAGCAACATTGATAAAAAACATTAAAGAACAAAAGGAAATGTTTTTTTGCGAAGTAAACGGCACCATCTATGGACAATCTGCTGTGTTAATTTATTTGCTGAGCATGCATGAAACCATAAAACGAATAATAACAAGAAAAATGAATAAAATTATAAATGTAAATATAAAATTTATATAGCTTCACCCATAAAAAAAAATTTGTTTCAATACTTCTTAAATATACACGAAACTTATGACTTAAATATAGTTTTTACCTCCTGAAAATATGTTTTCAATTAACTTAATGGAATTTTCTTAAAAAATGTTTATTCGTGAAATGTATGAGAGTAGCAATAATTTTCGAAACATAAAAATAGCATGACTGTTATTTTACTGATTTTTTTATTAGAAGATAATAATTCTAGACTCTGAAACACTAATTCTAGTTTAGTGACTCTCTAATAACATTCTGCATTAACTAAGAAAACTTAAAAGTAAAATAACCTTTTTTCAGCTTTTTGGATTTCTCAAAAAGAAGAAATTAAAATCTAAAATCATTAAGTTTTTTAAAAAAATGCTAGTAACATTCATAAAAAACATGAAAGAGCAAAGGGAAATGTTTTTTTACGAGTTAAACGGCGCCATCTATGGACACTCTGCTGTACTAATTTGTCTGCTGAGCATGGATAAAACCATAAAAACGAATAAAACCAGGAAAAATGAATAAAATTATAAATGTAAATATGAAATTTATTTAGCTTCACCTATAAAAAAAAAATTAGTTTTAATATTTTTTAAATATACACGAAACTTATGACTTAAAGATAGTTTTTGCCTCCCGAAAATGTGTATTTAATTAACTTCATGGAATTTTTTTAAAAAATGTTTATTTGTGAAGTGTATGAGAGTAGCAATGATTTTCGATACTTAAAAAAGCATGATTATAATTTTACTGATTTTTTATTACAATATAATTTCAAAACGATTTTGCAATCAGAATTTTCAAAACATAATTTCGTATTATACAACTGTTTTTTTATCAGATTAAAAAAAAAAAAAATCCTTATTTTTTCGCACTTTTGTTTAGAGAAATTAAATAAAAATCAGTACTCAAATCATGTTTTGTTAATTTAAATAAAAATAATTAAATTTCTTAAAATTCTAGAGATAGGCAAAACTACAAATACAAGATGATTAGAGTGCTCCTAAAGAAAAATAATAATTAACCAGAATATTTACTATAGATTTTGAATATTAACTGAAAAATAATAATTAGCCGAATAGAAATTTTTTACTTGCATGTAAATAGATTTTTATTCTAAATCAGCAAAAGGGTAGATTTCAAAATTTCATAGACTATACTATAATTATAAAGGGCAATGCAGAAAATTGCTATATTCTCAGTGTTGTTTCCTTATGGCTTTCATAGATGGCAGCACCATACATGTCACCTCTGGTGAAAGAAATATTTTTAATTAAAATCTTCCAATGTTTTACTTCTGGCAAAAAAAAAGAGGGTTTAAAAAATAGCGCAAGTTAAGCAAAATAAAATTTTAAAAAATTGATTGAATAACACTTAATTATTTAAATAAAGCCCTTACGACATCAATTTTAATACTATGTTATAAGTTATAAAGTTTTATAACGTATTAATAAATTGGTGCTGCCATCTGATATAAAACAAATAAACTATGAAATCTTAATACTTAAAAGGAAAATTAATTAAAATACATTTTTTAAAAACAATAATATACTACATAACATAACATATTCTAAATATTTATAAAATTTTAAACTTGCAATGTATACAAGCGATATTTAAAAAGATAATAAAAAAATATTAACATTTTCAAGTGATAACAAGAAAAGATGGCAGCACCACAAAAACATAACTCAAAAGAAATTACATGTTATTAACAAAACTCATTCTAATTCAAGTTTCATTCTAATATGAATAGATAAGAACAAAAATATATGATTAATGAGACAAGATATCCCCATAAAGAAATTCAATGAGGGTTTAATAGGGATTGAATGATAGCATTTGCAAAAAGATAAACTGTAGTTCTAAATTTATATTTCTCATTATAGTCTTTATACATTATCCTGAAAAATGACATAAATTGAAAATTAACTCTTATTAGGAAAATTATATATTTTTAATGACTTTTGCTTATCAGACATTTTAAACTTTTTCACATAGCTTAATAAATTTTTCAATTATTTTTCTGGGTATATGAAAACTTGTGAATGTAGCCATTATTAATCTGACGGAAAAAAATGACTACTAGCATTTCTCATCCAAATGAAATTAGGAAATTCAAGAATGTTTTGTTTCTCGGAAAGCCATTATCTAAGTTTATAAGTTTTTTTTCTTTTTTTTTTTTTCTTGTTTTTTTTTCAAAAACCATAATTTAGCTAATTGTATTTATTTTCAACTATTCATACACCATAACTTCAAACTTTTAAGCATTTTGTGTGAAATTTCATTTTTGTACTTTATGTGGTAGTTAAATTTATGATTTAAACTTGTTTCTAGGATTCATATATTCGATTTTAAATTATTTTGA